CAGAACCCCCCCCGCAACCCCCCCCCAAAACAACAAACAAAAAAAAAGACAAAAAAAAAAAAAACATAAAAGAAAACTCTTTTGCAAGTCTAGCAGAAACGCCCCCCGATTATGAATATCCCGGTGAAGGTATTAATCCGCGCGGCCACGTCACAACGGACTGTGACACAAGGTCGAAGATTTAATGTTGACTTTCACCAAAGCTGTAGAAAAACTGCCCAAACCCGCTGATTGAATACTGCTAGCATTCATCGCAACAGAATGTGTCACAAAAACGACGTTTACGGCAGTTTTACCGGCAATAATGTGGAAAAATTTAGCCAAACCCCATATTTCGAAATGCCTCATGCTCCGGCTAATGAACCAAGCCCTCATCCCTGAAGGGATGGCCTCTTGATTTTGAAGGAAATGAACCCCAGTAGAAAGCAGAGTTGGATAATAAGCTTCCGGTGAATATTTCGGATTCTTCAATGCGCCTATGACTTACGTTAAATTCAAACTTAAAAGAAAAGAAAAAAAGCATAGAAATTATTATCTTAGAAATGTATCGTAGCCACTATTTGACATCTAACCGCAGCCAGACATTAACTTAAAAAATCTGATATAAATGATTACAGTGAATTTGGAAAAGGTCGAGGTTTAAAACCCGTTCACCGGCAATACCATGGAAAAAATTTTTCAAGCTCCTGGGGTATCGCTCACTAGGCCTTGAGATGATTATACTTGATTTCAACCCCGATAGTAACTGCAGTTGTAGTGTAGTAATTACTGATTCACGGGAAGTAGTATGCGCTCATCGGTAATAGCTGTAGCTATTTGTAGACTTTGTGATTGCATATGTGTTATATACCGTATCTATGAACACTAATGGGTATGTCCCAATTCTCATAAATACGTTGGATTATATTGTAAGTGGGGGTAAGATGCTGTATAAGTAGTCCACTACTAGCAGTGGTTTACCTACTTCACGCCACTGGCGAGTATTGTATTTTGTTGATGTTATAAAGATTAACATTTCATTTCCAAACTCCGTTTTGGTTATCTCTCATTCAGTGACATTTTTTATGTTAAAACAATATGTAAACGAGTCACCTGTACCGAAAAGGTTTTATCCATTTATTTTCTCTGGTACTTCTTCTGGGAGCATTAGTCTCCAGATTATCTTCCTTCCCCTTGCAAAGATTTTGTCTCGATATTTCATAGGCGTGTTCCTGCAACGATTGTTTGTCTTCGCAGTTTATGTTGATGTTTGTCTTGCCAATGTTTGTCGTGTCAATTTTGCCTTCATTACTTTCAAGATCAAAAGAGGCTTTCCGCCCGTGAGCAATTATTCCTTTTATTATTTCTCATCCTGAACTGTTTCCGTCTCATTCGTATCCTCAGCTCTATTGACAAAATATCGGTTTCGGCCCAGTGTAAGAAAGTATCTTCGATTTTTTTTCCTCCTCTTTTCCATATCTCAGTAGTTCAATTCGGTTTTTGACAATTTCCTCGAAATTATGTGTCCACTTGCGTCAGTTTCGATGACTGTTTCCTTTATAGGGTCGAATATTTTTACTATTGGCTTCTTCGTCAGAAGAGCTTTTACATTTTCAAATGCCACTTGTTCTTTTGTCGAAATAAATTCCACATTCAGTTTTGTTATGGTCCGGTTTCTTGTACCACGCTGATAGTCCAAGGTAGAACCAATAAAGAAGAACTCGAATACGAATATGGAATAAGACAGATATATTACAAACTGGAATATATAAAGAGATGTAGAAAAGTGTTTAGTACGAACAATCAGATTTAGTAGTAATTGTTTGAACGCGACTCTGTTTCGGACTGCCTCTGGCTCGACTGACTGACTCGCTCGCCCTGGCTGACTGACAGACTCCTGACGGACTTCTGACGGACATCACTCCAGACTTCAGACTGAACTCTAGACTTCAGACTGAACGGTATTTAGTCACCCCCCCCACGAGGGCATCATGTGGCACAAGGCCTGTTTAACGTGGGATCTCCGATGCCCTTTGAACCCGTATAAAACGGGTTCAGGGTCGGTTTACCTCCCCGAAAGAGACTGCGCCCTTCGGCGTAGCCTCGTTCGAGTTCCTCCCCACCCGAAGGCAGAGAGTTCAACCGATCAGCCGGTCGTCCGACTTCAGACGGAACTCCCTGCTTCCTCTTGAGGCGCAGTATTTATTACGTATGGAGTAGTCCATTATGTTATTATGGGTAAGGTCCCATAACAATTTTTCTTAAAGCTGTAAAAGGTTCTGTAATTAGGTGTATCAATCTACATATCGCCTGTAGAAATTTACAAGTCCGAAGAAAGATTCAATTTCTTTTTTGTTCTTAGGTACTTCAGCTTTTACTTATTTTGCCAATTAACGATTGTTCTGGTAATATGACTTCGTTAGATATGGAATATACCAAACATGATATTTTTTAGTGTTGCGTGCCCATTTTGTTTGTTAAATGTTAATCCTGCATTTTTAACTTATTTAAAACAAAACCGGTTTTACATTTTAATTCTCAATCGTGAATAGCACCAACAAAGGTGTCATCCTTGTAGCATATTACATTTTTTATATCGCCAACAATAACTCTCTCTATAGCCCTTTGAAAAATCGCATTTGCAGTTTTAATTCCATACAGCATTCTATTCCATCTTATGCCTATTGGGAAGTTTATTGTTGTAATTTCTTTAAAGTCTCCGTCAATAGGTATTTCATGGTATGCCTCCTTTTCATCGATTTTGGAAAATGTTTTCATACCAGCAAGGGATTTCAAAGCCCATTCTACGTTGGGGATTGGATATTAATATGCACATATTTTGTGGTTTATAGCTATTTCGTAGTCACCACAAATGCGCAGATCCCCATCCTTCTTTCTTAAAATTACTAACGGGGAGGCCCATTTGCCCCCTCCTGGTGGAATTTGTTCAAGTAGATCTTGTTCCAGTATTTTTTTTTTTTAGTTTTAGCACAAATATAGCTAGTAGATAGACTAGCACTTTTCCTGCTTGGAAATTTGAGGGGAAGATATTTTCCTTTAGTCGTTAATAGTTTTTTTTTTTAACATTCCATTTACTTCTGCCTTGACTCTGCTTTCTAATTTTGTCGAATCTATGTTCGCTACATAATTTCCTATTTCTTTTCACAGTTTACCACAATAATTGGTAATACGTCAAACTTATTTTTTTAGTTCCACGTAGGCTTTAAAATAGCCTAACGTTTTTATCATGGATCCGTCAACCTGATTCAATTTGATAAGGCTTTTCTTTATTCTTGGGTTTCCTGATTTCTTCAAGACATTTCTGTGTATCGACGTCGCGTATCTAGTTGCATGTCCAATAAAACATTATTGATTCGAGTTTTTCAATAACCGTTCTTCATTTTTTTTCTTTTCAATGAAGAGACGTCCATAGTTATTTACTCTTCATTTTATTGGAACGTCTCTACGTTTTTCTTTTGGGATTTACTCATGTCTTTAAAATGATTCATTTTGAAACATTTTTCACGTTTTATATGCCGGATATTTTTGTTTTTCTCTTTGATGTTGATAAGCACAAAAAGTAGATATTATTATGTCTTTTCTCTTTATCGCCTATTTACGCTACCAGATTCGAAACTATTGCTTTATTAAATTTTCGAATCAGTTCCTTTTGCTGGAAAAAAATCGACACACTTCTAGTGGCAACCTTCCCAGTTGTAAATGCATTAAAGTCAATTGCCGATACCCCTCATCTTGAAGGCCATTTGCCGAATTCATTTGGATCAAATCATCTTCAATTAACTGGTTTTCCTCTCCTAGTTTAGCGGCCTGTTTAAACGATGAACATATTCAATAACAAGTTCATTCACTTTTTGAGAAATGTTCATTCTGCATTCGCTAGCTTTATCTTGAGTGATATATTTTCCACTATTAGTTGACTTATATCATCAAACGTCATTTGTTCCACCTGTCTTGGGTGTGCAATTGCTGATACTTTTATAATGGCGTCACAACCAGAACTTGCCAAGAAGAAATCAGCTATCTGGTTTTCTCCCGCAACTGATTTCAAATCCTTCAGCTTTTTTTTGTTCTAGATTGAGCTGCTAGCATCCTAAGCTCGCTCGGTTCTTTAGATATCGTCGACGTCATTGTGGTCTAGTGTTGCTGACTCACGGGAAATTGTATGCACTCAACTGCCTGGTGGTTAATAGCAGTAGATATTTATAGTCTTTGTGACTGCATATATAAACGAGTCACCTCAACAGTTGAATATAAAAATTCTAGTGATTGTTTGGCTCGAGACTAACTGTTAAACATCTACCTGAAATCATTTCAGCTGTACTATCGAACTCTCTGACTTCGGGCAGGGATGAACCCGGACGAAGCTATACCGAAGGGTAGATCCTCGTTCGGGGAGGTAGACAGCCCCGATCCCGTTTATGCGAGGCCTTTTTTGGTCGAGTCTACGGGCTTGAGAACCCCGCATTAAATTCGGCCTTGTGCCACATGTGACTGCGTGGGGCAGTTGCTAAATAATCTAACTGCTAAGCATCAATCTATGACATGCGAATGGCTCGGTCAATATTCTTTATTTAAATAATATAGAGATCTATATATTTTATCAATTTACAAATTAGAGAAGCTGTATTCTTTCTTCGTGTATTTGGTAATGTCCGGCATTGTATTTATTTATAAATCTCCATGTTTTCATCCTTTATTTAAAAAAGAATTAAACATTTATACGTAAAATATAATTAATAATTACGTATCCGAAATATATATATATATATATATATATATATATATATATATATATATATATATATATATATATATATATAAAATAGTTATTTTAAGAAATGTAAGAGTTTTAGTTTTGGATTTTTCCAGTTCAACAATACAATTTACTTCTGCTTTTTGCTTGCAAAGCAACAATAAGATATCAAAGTTAGGCAGTGGCTCATGATTAATGTGCTTAATCTTCTCGTCGAGGAACTTGTGAGGTTGTCAGAAAGGAAATGATGCTAAAACGTTGCAGCCTGGTTAGCTGAGCGGAAGTTCATCATTTTGATGTATCATTGGTAAGTTTTCTTCAAAATAGGAGATTCGTCTGCAGCCATTCAGATTGTGTTGATTGAAGTCGTTTTCTGAAGATCATTCCATCTCTCTCTCTCTCTCTCTCTCTCTCTATCTATCTATCTAGTGATCGTGCTAGATATTATATTCGGTTCCAATCTATCTATCTATCTATCTATCTATCTATCTATCTATCTATCTATCTATCTAGCCCTGTTCATTATCTATCTATTCATCTAGCTAGCTAGCTATTCGCTAGCTATCTATCTAGCTAGCATATTTCGGTTCTAATCTATCTATCTAGTGAGCGTGCTAGCTATCATATTCGGTTCCTATCTCATCTATCTATCTATCTATCTATCTATCTATCTATCTATCTATCTATCTATCTATCTATCTATCTATTGATCTATCTATCTAGCATTCATTAGATATTATATTCGGTTCCTATCTATCTATTATCTATCTAGTCCTGTTCATTATCTATCTATCTATTACTAGCTATATTCGGTTCCAATCTATCTATCTATCTATCTATCTATCTATCTATCTATCTATCTATCTAGCTAGCTAGCTATGTATCTATCTATCTAGCTAGCTAGCATATTCGGTTCTAATCTATCTATCTAGTGAGCGTGCTAGATATTATATTCGGTTCCCATTCTATCTATCTATCTATCTATCTATCTATCTATCTATCTATCTATCTCTATCTATCTATTCCTGTTCATTATCTATCTATCTCTCTATCTATCTCTATCTATCTATCTATCTAGCTAGCTATCTATCTAGCTAGCTAGCATATTCGGTTCCAATATCTATCTATCTGAACGGTTCTAATCTATCTATCTAGTGAGCGTGCTAGCTATCATATTCGGTTCCAATCTATCTATCTATCTATCTATCTATCTATCTATCTATCTATCTATCTATCTATCTAGTGATCGTGCTAGATATTATATTCGGTTCTATCTATCTATCTATCTATCTATCTATCTATCTATCTATCTATCTATCTATCTATCTAGTCCTGTTCATTATCTGTCTATCTATCTATCTATCTATCTATCTATCTATCATATTCGGTACCATATTCGGTTCCAATCTATCTATCTATCTATCTATCTATCTATCTATCTATCTATCTATCTATCTATCTATCTATCTATCTATTCCTGTTCATTATCTATCTATCTATCTATCTATCTATCTATCTATCTAGCTAGCTAGCTAGCTAGCTATCATATTCGGTTCTAATCTATCTATCTAGTGAGCGTGCTAGCTACCATATTCGGTTCCAATCTATCTATCTATCTATCTATCTATCTATCTATCTATCTATCTATCTATCTATCTATTGAACGTACTAGCTACCATATTCGGTTCCAATCTATCTATCTATCTATCTATCTTCTTAATTTTGTCAACATCTTTCTTATTCAGTTCATATCTATCTATTTTAATCAATCAATTTATCTCGCTAGCTAGGTATCACGATAGGTAGCTATCATGATCATATTGTAATAGATGTGGATAGATATAAAAATTTCAATGTAAATCGACAATTATACTGATATGATAGATAAGCAACTGAGGAAGATGAACTGAGATGAGATGCATGAAATGATAATGAGTTTACTGAGGGGATAATAATTTGAGTGAAATGATAGGAAGAAAATGTCGCTGCCGACACTTGAGTTTGAACATAGATTGCCAGTGAGCAAAAACAGGCGATCCCAATATTGAATTAAGTAGATCACATGGCTATAGAAGAAACGCTTATATAGGAATTAGCTTGGTGTCCAACTGATCGCTATATCTAGTCTATCCTCTATACTCTCTGATTTTACGGATCCCTCATTTCTAGTCTATCCTCTATTACTATACGGATCGCTGTTTCTATTTTATATTCTATTATTATACGGAACGCTATTCTTTACTCTATTCACTATGATATTTCTCTATTCAGATCACTATACGTATTACTGTTCGAGAGAGTATTATCGAGCCAGTACTATTAGTACGAGTGCTATTCGAAGGCGTCTGACATCAGTATTGTTTAACGGCGTTAGTATAGTTGTATCTGCGATTACAAAGTCTCTACTACAAAGAGCATTACGAAACTGACAACAAGTGTTCGTTGACATCACAAAAGATGGAGAAAGAACCTACAGAGACAATGTACTCTTTGTATCCAATAAGAATATAATTGGTTGTAATTGGAAAAATATTTTTTCTATCATATCACGATTGAGAAGGGAAGAGATGATGGTGAGGAAAAAAATTTTGTTAACCTATTGTCGTTGCACGTTTTGCATGCATCTTCCTTTTTGTTTTTAAATCATTTCACCCTATGCAAGGCAATAAAGACACTAAGACGCAAAAGGGTGAAAGAGAAATATATCAAGAGAGAGAGAGAATAATAAAAGAATAGATTCAAAAAAAGGGAGATGACGATTGACATTGTAATTCGCCCTTGCATGGAGTATTGCTGCCATATATGGTCTGGCGCCCCTTCTGTTTGCCTCGGGGTTCTTGATAGGCTCCAGAGGCAGATATGCAATGTGGTTGGCCCTGCCCTGGCGTCTCGTCTACAGTCACTTTCTCACAGACGCGCCGTCGCCTCCCTCTGTCTGTTCTACAAATACTTTCATGGCAATTGCTCCGAGGAGCTGCATTCGCTGGTTCCCAGACGTCATGAGTTCCAGCGCCTTACGAGGCTGGCATCTCGCTCTCACCCCCTCACTGTCGAAACTCCTAAATGTAGCCGTCTCTTCTACTCTAATAGTTTCATGTCTCGCACCTCTCGCCTGTGGAACTCCCTTCTTTTCTCCTGTTTCCCTGTGAGCTATAATCTCCATCTATTCAAATGTAATGTCAATCGACATCTCCAGTTGCCTTAATCTATCCACTACCCTCATCCTTTCTTCTATCACTCCTATCTGATCTTGCTATTTCCTGTAACCCCTTGCATCCTAGTGGCTTCCCGCCTTGCTTGGGGTGAAACGCTCAAAAAAAAAAAAAAAAAAATTTTTGAAGATAAAATCTGACAGGAAGGCAGTAAGCCATGGGAGGGTTCTATAAGCGAGAAGTGCGACAGTAGAATCTATGGTTACTTCTAACAATTTCAACTGTAAAATGAAGAGACCGAGCTGCCATTCTAGTACTGCGCTTAAATTCATAAAATGGAGGTACCAAAGAGGAAAACTAATCAGAACAATTACCATGAAATTATTTATAGAAAAGGCATAGAAAGCTTTGAGAAAGTAACTGAAGCCGATATGTTAGGTCAGGAAACCATAACGTGCATAATATATATATATATATACGTATCAATTTATTTTTGCTGTTTATTTGCATTTATAATTGTTTTACGAATATATTGTGAGCTTTAGACAATGTTTTTCTTTCAATATATGATTCTAAATCCATTTTTTTACTGTCCAAATACTTGTTTCACCTCACTGTATATATATATATATATATATATATATATATATATATATATATATATATATATATCCAGGTAAATGAGGACAAATGGAATATAATTCCACTGTACATAACATTTAATTTAAAAGAGGGCATAATGCAGAGTAGAGCTAAATATTATTTATTTTAGGATATTAAAATATGTTAAAATCGCCACATAATGGAAATTATGTTTCAACACTACAAATGTGTCTCTTTGGTCAATGTTAAACTACTGGCAAATGAAGTATTAATTTAATTTCAAAAGAAGAATATTTTTAAAAAAGACGGTAAATTTGGATTTAGCCTAGGTCACCTTCCATTGGTTAATCACGTCAAAGCCCAAAAGCCTATTTTTTAAAAGTAAAATGAAATGATCTGTCTAGATTGAAAAATCTCCTAATATCTTGTGGCCGTCTTTTTTTCTACTACTACTACTACTACAATTACTATTACCACTGCTACTTATTTTTATTATTATTTGTGTATGTTATGATTCCGGCTTTGTACCTTGTACAGCTGGGTCCAGACTATAGTCCTTTGGCTCTATAGTAGAATTGTCATTTAATTGATAATATTTTACTTAGTATATGGGATGTTCCTAGTAGGGCGATATTCTGGGCAACTTGTATGTTGATATTAGCAAGGATAGTGTTAGTAAAATTGTCCATTCCTTTTCTCACGAGGCCCAGTACTCCGATTACTATTGGTACAGTCTCAGTCTTCATTCGCCACATCCTGTTAATCTCGATTTCCAGGTCTTTGTATTTGGACAGTTTCTCGTATTTGGACAGTTTTTTTAGATGTTTCTCTCTGATGGTACTGCTATGTCAATATACATACACTTCCTGAATATTAGGTCTGTTGGCATTCATTTCCCTGTCCGTTGGATTTGACAGGTCCCGGAGGATATTATTATTATTATTATTATTATTATTATTATTATATATTATTATTCCTTTTCTTTCTGGTGTGTACGCATTTCTTTCCGGGTTCCGCCCAGAGACCTAAGGTTAGAAATGGCATCATGACTTCTTTCACTAACCGATTAAAAAAAGAAAAACACATATTTTACATAGATAAAGCCCTTCATAAGGTTTGGGATGTACTTGTGAGAGCAATTTTTTGTATTTCTTTAAGACAAGAATTTCCATGAATCCCTTCATTTACTCTACTGGAATCTTTTCCAAACAATCCGAGGGCTCCAACTACAACAGGGATTGTTGATGTTCCCATTTGCCAAATTTTTGAGATTTCGATTTCAAGGTACTTGTATTTTGATAGTTTTTTGAAGATCTTCAAAGATACATTGCAGTCTGCAGGGACTGCCATATCAATAAGGAGGCACTTTTTTGTTTGCGGTCTCTAATAACAATGTCTTGGCGGTTAGCTTTGATTGTTCTGTCAGTGTGTAGTCCTATAAAATTGTAACCGGTCCCATGTCTGTAACCGGGTTTTGGATGGCATTCGTACCAATTTCTTTCAGTTTCCTTCCCGCAGAAGTTGCAGATTTTCCAGTGCAGATATTGACCCACTCTGTGTTTTATATTCAGTGGGTGCCAATATCGTGCAACCTGATACAAGATGATCAATTGTTTCTGGATATTTATCACAGAATCTGCATTTTGGGTTAAAACAATATTTTAGTATTTTTGCTTGATAATTTCTAGTTAACAAGCATTGGTTCTGTGCAGCAAGAATAAAACTTTCCATTTCAGCTTTTAGCCCTGCACTACGTAGCCACTGATCGGTACGGGGTTTGTCTATATCAGCTTGTTTGGTACGAGCAGAATATTGGCCATGAAGCTGTTTATCTAGCCATTGTTTCTGTATCTGGTCGGTTGCATTTGATTTTTCTTTCTTTTTTATGTATTTTGCAGCTTCGGTCGTTGTATTGTGGTTTACTTGTATTTCTGCACCCATTTGAAACTCCATTATTATTATTATCGTTATTATTATCATTATTATTATCATCATCATCATTCGATTTCTATTATGGACACACTACCTACCAAGTCTGCGGAAAGACCTAAGGCAGGTCGTGGTTGTTGTTATGGCCACATTTCATTATTCCGATGAAGTTGCTAGCGTTACATAGACAAAGTTCTCCTTAGTGTGTGTGCTGTACTTAATAAGACAATTTTCTGTATGTCTCTTAAGCTGGGGTTTCAGGATTCTTTCAATGTGTTGTTTTGTTCCATTTTTTTATAATTCCAAGTGCACCTATTACCACTGGTATTATTCTTGTTTTCAATTTCCATTTTTTTTCTTTTCAATTTCCAGGTCTTTGTATTTTGATAGTTTTTCAAATTCCTTGGTTGCTATGTTACAATCCGCTGGACAAGCCATATCAATTAGTAGGCAAGTTTTTTCTTTCTGGTTTTTGACAATATTATTATTATTATTATTATTATTATTATTATTATCATTATTATTATTTACTTTTCCCAAGTGTGAATGAGTATCATTACCTTTCCTAAGTTTGAGTTTACGGTATTGTGGCGGGAGAGAAGAGAAATATAAAGGCCTTGATAGAGTACTGAAAAACTATGAAACAGGAAGGTTAGGCTCATGCCTATAATCATGGAAGCGCGCGGAAACGTTTCATTGACCTATGCGAAGAAATTGAAAATTAAAGTTGTTAGGAAAACTCATAGTAATGCTAGAGATTTGAAGAGATTTGCGATTCCCTGATCTATAAATAGATTAAATCATTGTTGAAGTTAATAAGGATTCCGTTTTTCATTTCAAATGTCCTTTGCCCAACCTGTTAGCATTTACTTCCCTTTGCCTTTTGAAATAACAATAGATTTCTTTTCATTCCCACAATTCTATATTTAACCATTTGTTCTCATATCGCTCTCATAAAAAAAAAAAGTTTTGACGTTGGACATTTATTTTGTGACACATACTTTGTGGTCGTTAAATCATTAAGCTGTCATCTGTGCTTT